CATTCTCTAGTGTCGTGTCCATAGAGTTGGTGGAAGGTGTAGAACCTTGCCCCTTCTAAGGGCCTGTTTGGCCATTTCTTCTTCTTCTTTCGATTACTGTCAGTACCCCTAGATGGTCCCACCTCGACAGGGGCATTCTCGTATGCCAATATCGGCACTGCATTTAGCATGGCAGAAGCTAGTGCCTGCACGGATGTGGGAGCTATTGTATGCCCTGCTTGGGTCCATTGCTGGGCGACAAGGTGCACTGCGGGTCCTCGACCTACCTGTCTCTGAGGCGGAGGGAGTCCCCACGCGGCATGATTTCCGTGATCAATCATCTCTTCACTGACGATTTCAACTCTCATCATTTCTGCTAATTAGTCATAAGTGGTAGGATTCTTACTGCGTACGTCTCTCCAGAACAAAGTGTTTATGCTTGTCTCATATCTTGCAGGCATTGCACTGGGGCCTCTCATTCTCTACGTGAGAGGTACTGATTCAAGAATGCCTTTTTCAGATCTGGCCAACTCCTAATGCTCGGGGAAGGCAGTTTGTTGTACCACACTTCGGCGGCTTCGGCCAGGGTTAGGTGGAAGGCTCTGCATTTTAAAGCAGGCGAGGCTCCCCTGAGGCTCATCTGTGTCATGTACTTGGTGAGGTGTTTTTTTGGGTCCCCTTTTCCTTCATACTTGGGGATTTTAGGGGGCACGAAATTTGCAGGCATTGGGGAGCTTCGAATCTCTCTTGAGAAAGGGAGGTAATCATCATCATCATCAATTTTGTAAGATCGACACGGCCCTTCAGAGCCCCCATCATCTTATCTGTTTTGGGGAGGTAGAGGTGCTCTTTCTCGACTACCCCAGTTAACTAGGTTCCTTTTTTCCTTCCTATTTCTAGGTGGGAGGGCTGCTTGTTCTTGCTCATGTTCTTGCCGAACTGATTTTTACACTGAACAAACCCTATTGCTAGGGTCCTGCCCTATTCATTCAAAGACACTGACTGACTTTTGTACTTCATATTTTGGTGGGAAGTTGTCCCCTAATTGCGATTCTGCTGGTTGGCTCTCTTGCACATAGGATGTGACTTCCGTACCCACTTCTCTTTTAAGGGGGCGTTCTATGTGCTGGCTAATATGGCCTTGGGAACGAGACGCAGGGACTTTATGAGTTGGGTAAGATCCTTGGGACATTTGGGAGCTCTGATGACCTCGGGCTTGCATGAAGAATTCATGCATCGCCATATTCTGAGCTGCAATATCTCTCATGCCCGCAGCTATTTGAGCCATTCCTTTAGTGACCATGGCCATTCTTTCACCTCAGTGACGTCGGTGATGGGGTCTTTGGTAAGTGACACTGTTTCGAAGCACCTCTTCTTCAGAGGCGTCCATCTTGGGGTTTGCATCCTCATTGCTGGAACTCATCTTATCTATTCTTTTTTCAAGGGTGATAAGAATTTGGATTGTAATTCGACTTTGCTCTTTTTCAAGAACGTGCCCTTTTCAGGGTAAGTCAATGGCTTTCCGGTGGCTTTTTCGGTGGGGAATGTAGAACTTTGGACGGGATGTTTCCCATAGACTACGCCAATCTGTTGACCTTTGGAAGTGGACCTCCCACGTGGCCAACCGATAGCTACTCCACGTGATCCTCTCTGCGCACAATCAACACACGTCAGACGTACTCGGTCGAAACCAGCGGGGTGGTGGCGGCTGCATACACTCCAACGGTGAAGTTAGTATCCGGTGATTGGGACAGTGCTCAGGTTGTGCAAGAGAGTGGGGAGGAGATTATATATGTTTTCTTGTTATGGAGAGCTAAGTTGTAAGAGTTTCATTTCCTTTACCTCTTGTCAAACCTTACGTATTTATAGGTAAGGAGGACCATTGGATGTGGGATATGATATGCATCTGACGGTGTGAGGCGTCTGTTCATAGGCGTCAATCAGCCGCGTCTATAGAGTGGGCGGGTAATAACTTCTCTTGAGTTAAGTTGACATAAAGTTGATACGTCATATCAACTAGATCCTTGGAGACATCAAATCAATTAAGCCTTGGGGGCAGAAAGGATCTTGACACAGATCTCTTTCTGAAAGTGGGGGCGGATCTGCTGAAAGAGAACCTCAGAGTGCATTGCGCTTCTGCATCAAGGACACTTCGATCGGTTCAGTAGAATTGTTTTGTGCCTCGCAGTGCGTTAGCAGAGTGCGGACATTGATGGTGGAGTCACTTCGAAACTATTTCGAATTGGTGGTGGACACCTCGTATGATGCAGAGGTAGACTTTTCGAAGTGGTTCAGATAGGGGCGTAACAATTCATATTAAGATGACATTACATGCATGCTACCATCTTTAAGCTTAAACTTAAAACTATTTTCCTTGGCGTTCCAATCAATATGTAGTTACTCGATTAATGTGCTTCTTTGCAATAATTATTGTGAGGCATGACAGAACACTTGATGCAGTACCTTCATTGTGATGCTTTCCTTCTAGCAATCCGATTCATTATGAGGCCTTGATTCGTAAATGTGTGCTACCGTATGTGACAAATTTCACCACACCAGGGTTGTATCCGTAGTAGATATCATCTCTTGTTAGCCCTTTCAATAGCATGATCTTCCA